ATCATTAGTATAGGGTTCTGCTTTAATGGACCACTTTAATGGGAGAGGGAGAGTTACGAGATTTGATGTATCCCCAAACCATTGGTGCCATGTCTCTTTCATCATTCATGAAGCCGGCATCAAAATCCGGTGCCTCATATGGATCTGGAGAAACGATGTGAGTCTCACCACGAGAGAACGGATATTCGAGGAAGTGGAACATGGTAAAAAAGTTTCCAGGTGGCCTGATAATTAGTTAGTCTATTCTCGTGAGATCTAGCGTTGATAACTTACATCAACATGTGATCACCAAACCAGCCAGAGATGACCGAGTAGTGCATAACTGGCTTGTCAGGTTTGTTCTTGAAGTAGCTGTCCCAACCCGATCTGAAATGAGGCGTTGGCCAACTATCCATCTCTTTCAATTCCTCCTCAGTGGGACGAACTTTGACACCGGCATCAATACCGTTCGTCGCAAGTGGGCCAGTACCCTTGAGGTTCCATTCATCAAACACTGCCTTTTGAACTTCTGGGACACCTCTGGCAAAATCATCAAAACTTTCGGTTCCGGGCTTAGCACGGTAGACTGGTAAGTATTAGCATTTATGATAGTAATGAAAATTTAGGCAAGAATAAATACCAGAGAATGTCAAATAATGATCTTGGAAGTTCTGACCAACACCAGGTAGATCAACAACCGGCTTGACACCAACCTTTTCCAATTTCTTTGGGTCTCCGACACCACTTCTTTGCAAAATCAAAGGTGATGAGAGCGTGCCACCTGAAACGACGATTTGCTTTCGTGCACGGAAAGTGCGTGAACGTTGCTGTTGAGATTTAGTGTCAGAAAGCTTCAATCAATTGCTACATAATAACTTACATTTGGGTGGAGAGGCTTTGTTGGCACGGTTTTAACACCGACAGCTCGACCATTCTCGATGATAATCTTATCTACTTTGGTGTTACACATGAGGTGAAGGTTCGAGTGTACGGATCTAGTGGAATGAATGTAGGCATGGGCGGCATCGCTACGTCGACCTGTCTTGACATGATGTAAGATTTATGATTCCACTGGAAAAAGGTGTACTTACATCTCGATTGATCCACTTCAGCCAGTGTTCGGCACCACTGATATCTTCGTTAGTATTGGAACAAAGTAATGCGATTGCGACTTACTGTGCAGTAACCAGGTCTTGTAAGTCATCAGTTGTTGGGATGCCTTGAGATTCGGCAGCACGTAGAAAGTCGTGAGTAATTGGATAGGTGTAGTTTCCAAACGATACTTTAATAGGTCCATCAAAGCCGTGGAGGTCCCTAATAGTGTCAGAGATGTGAATTGGTAGAGGATATATCCACCAACCTGTTGTTGCATGCCCGCTGGTATGTTTCATGCTTTCTCATCAAAGGAATGAGTTCTTTTGTAGACCATCCCTTGGCTTGGAAGTCGTCATAGTCGGAAGCAGACGCCCGTGTATACATCATGAAGTTTATAGAGGACCCTCCGCCGAGAATATGTGCACATGGAACAACAGCTTTGCGACCGGCGAGCCATTCTGAAGGTCGAGAATAGTAGAATGATGCTGTCTTACTGTCGAGTTTCATGTTCTTGGGGTCTATAGCTATTAGTTAAAAGCAATAGAAGTGATATAGCATAATTCTTACAGATTCCAGGTCGAAACACCCATGGGTTGTTGAGGTTACTCTCTCCAGCTTCAATGAGAAGGACTTGGAGATTGTGGTCGAGGTTTGCAAGTCTGCGGGCCACTCAGTACCGAACTAATGAGGGTAGATATCTGAAATGATATCGACATACCTGCCAGCAATCACACAACCGGTGCTTCCACCACCACAGACGATGATATCGAACTCATCTGGGATCGTCATTTTCACTGTGTTATTCAAATTCTGTCAATATTGTGTGTCACTTGCAACTTGTAAAGCTGTTAAAGAATACTACAAAAATGAGGAAACACGCAACCTTTTCTACTCTCAATCTCTTATACCCCTTGGCTCCGGATACCCGGCTTAACAAAGTAGAGGCTTCGTGTAGCATCAGCTATATCTCCGCCTTGTATGTGGTACCATTGCATACTCAATCGGTGACCATTGGCCTTCTGAAGGTCCATGAACAGAGGAAGCAGCAAAACAAGAGCAACTAAGCCATAGCTAATGTCGCTACCCCTCTTCTTGTCTTACCATGACGATGCCGGCTTGATGGACGACAATTGCGATTGATGCGCGAGTTTAGGGGTGCAGCTTCAGTACACCCTCACAGACAAGCACAAGGAGAGAAAGACATCATCGGACATTCGAGTAGAACATTTAGAATCTAGGAAATGTGGTCGACGCGGGGAAATGCGATCTGCCGTCGTAATCAAAAACACTTTGAGTTTACCCCGCAGTTCGAGTTCACATACCGTATGCGGGCAATATTTAGAGTTCCAATCAAGTACCTGGAGTGAAAGAGAAGCCAATTGAGTTATAGAATAATCTGAACGCGACACAGCTTACGTTCTTGGTTTCCAATGCACTGCAGACTTCTGCCAAATTGATGAACACATTACTAGCAAATGAAAGACCGACGTTGATTCCCGAGCTATTTCCGCCCTCCTTTTCCGCCTCAACACCGTGCACCTCCCATTGATCGTCGATAGTTCCTCAACTTCAAGTTGTTTTTAACAAGCCTTGCAGGATACTAGTTACAAGGTGCATTCAGGTGCTCAAAGTGTTCGTCGAGCGGGATGTAGTCAGGGATTAAAGAAGAAGGTTGTTGAAAGGCTTAGGTAAGATTATACGAAGATACACATCGTAGCGTATTGCGGGGTCAATGCCGCTTTTAGTCGGGCATTTTTTCCACCACTACTGTACCCCGGATCGGATGCCAGATTTTTATAGCACTGGATCGAACGGCATAACATGAAAACAGGGTGCAGTTTGGATCGGTGGCTTGTGTATGTTCAGGGTCAGATTGCCAATTCGGTCTCTCCTAGTCGTAACAGGAAGAACATCAATGCGAAGACGCGTCAAGTCAGAACTCTATTCGACCTCCACGTTTTCTGGAGCTCCACGGTCTAGACTGTGAGAACATATTAGTGGTGTAGGAGCTCTGGCATGAATGAAACGCTATCTACGAACGATTAAGGGAAATCTAATCAATCTGCTCACTCGAGATTATTGGATCCCTGAGATTGCTTTCTATCTCTGACTTCATTCATGAAATGATACTTGTAGTGCCAAGGTCGGCATTCCTGCCTCAAAGTTTTGACCATTTAAAAGAGAGAGGTAGTCCGGACTACTATGAAACACACACCGGGCTGTGAATACTGTCCTCGCTTAGATTTCATGATATTGTAGGGTTGTAGAGTTGGAGTACACCCCTTGATTCTTTTATGTTAAAGTCACTTAACTACGATGTTTGGAATATGAAGTAGGTCGATTGATTCTATTGGAAGTTTATCATCTTGGTTTTCGATTATTTGCACATTTCGAGAGACTATAGAGCATTGTTTTTAATCTCCATGGAGGTTTATTTTATTTGGAATCATGAGCGCTCGCACAAGTCAAATAGGTTTCAAACTTACTTATCTAGATGCTGTTGATCATTTGTGGAGGACTTCTGAAGGAGAAATAACGCATGGAAAAGTCAAGTTGTTTCCCAACTTACTTTACTGCTTGCTTGGCAATTTACCCCTCACTCCATCATTCACGTGATTCTTCACATGATGATACAACAACCTGAAGGCTCTTCCTCTCTTCTGCTGCGTGGTCTTACCTCACGGCGTCGTGGAGTGTGACCTTGTTCCCTGCGGATCTCGCGGAGTTCGACCGGGTGGTTTGGATCGACGTACGACCATCGATCTCGTGCCTCTCTCCTCTCACTCTCGCGGCGGTGAGATGAGTGGTGTTTTCGGCGTTGGTGATGACTCATGGCGTTACTTGATCGATTGTTTGTTTGAGTGTTTGAGTGTTTGAATGCTTAGTTGAGACGATGTCCTTACTTTTGAAGCGGAGGTACCTTTTTGTATGTTTGAACATTCATTGTTCTGGCGTTGTTCATTTCGATGGAATCTATTCAAATATTATATGACAGCCTTTGGGAAAATAGTTACTAACAGACTTTGAAAAGAAGTAACCATTGTTTGAGAGATCGTTCATTCCATAGATAGCTGTTCACGCGTTGTTCAATGACCTTTCGTGCGTCAAAGTAACCTGTAGCACATTCCTTACCACATGTCTTTTAAATTTAGGCTCAACACCTGCCACGCCTAGCAAAGATTAATTCTATATGCGATCCCTAAAAGACCCTTTACCCCGGCACGTACGGTGATAATTTCTTGGCATGTCGCCTGATGTGGCAAGCCGAGTGCCTAGTGCAATATCCTGCAGTAGCGCGGAATGTGAAATATGTCCTTTCTTGAATTCTGTCTGACTACAAGATTGATAATGAACGAAACAATTCATTGGTCTAGATCCAAGTCTGGACTATGCACTGTTGATATATCGAAAATTCATCTGTCTGGTTGATCATTTGGCGCTGCAAAGTTCCCGATCATTCCGTACCCTGCCCATTCGAACTAACCAGCGTTCAGTCGCGGTTTCTCCCAATCCCCAATTAGATTCTAAGTTATCACTTGAACTTTTATTCTCGCTCGTGCCCAATTCACCACTCTGTGTATGACTATTGCTCAACAAGAGCTCAAACATTAAGCTTATGCAGCCCAGCTCGCCAAACTAACTTCCGTAGAATAGAGGTAGGGTTGTCTCTACATAACCGAAAAAAGCGGCGCAAATTGAGCACCCTTTCAAAGATCTTTTTTAATAGATTATAAATTCATTTCAGATTAAATATTGAAATTTGAAAGAATTAAATGTAAATTTAAATCTTTTTTGTATCGGTATTAAGTGTTTTTATTATTTAACATTATATCGAGAAAAGATTTTAGTTGTTGAAATTCTTTTGAATAGTGGTCAATTTCCGCCGCTTTTTTCGGTTACGTAGAGATTGTCCCTACGGCTGCCATCTAAGCACCTCCAGCAGCCGGTGCTTCACCCCCGGAGCCCCCTACTGTTTCCACTTCCGTTCTCCTATGCTTCTTATGTTTCCTGTGCTTCCTCTTGTTTACCTTTACTTTAACCTTCACCGTTTCCTTCACAATCTCCTTCTCCTTTCCCTTCCCCTTTCTCCTCTTCCTTTGACTGCTTTTCGCCTTCATCATGTAAACCCAACCTATCAGTCCTAGAATCAATACCCCAATGATACACCCAATAACTATTCCGATATCTCTACCGCTATTGTTGGGCTGAGGTGCCTGCGTCTCCACTGTATATGAATCACCGATGGGAGTCGAATCAGGAAGGGAAGCGGGTTCAGAAGCAAATGCGTTATCGTTGATTCCGATGTAGGACGTGTAAGTAGTGGTGGGAGCATCAACTATGATAGTGGAGAAATTTTCACGCAATACATCGGGGAGCGCAGTCGGGATTGGAGATTCTAGAGACAGTGTTGAGGAAGCGGCAAATGCGGTAGGAGAAGGGGTGTAGGCAGAGAATGCGGCAGAAGATTGGGTAACAAGGTTTATAATTGGGGATGTAGAATTTGCGACTTTGTTTGGAAACGAACGCGGGGATAAAATGGAAAAGGCTATTGGAGCCATATTTACAGTACGAGTTCCACCAGGGAGAATCTGAGAGCTTCAATTAAACATAATGAAAATCGCGCCAGTTATGCAAAAAGAAAAAGAATCAATTGAATTGAACTGAGGACCGATAGGAATTCAAGCAAATATGCTCCAGATATAAAATACAAGATGATGAAGATGATGGAGGAATCTGCAAGCAAGGCCCTAAAAAATGATTGGCCATTGTAATAACATAGAACGTGGCGCCTTGGGTTGGATTCGCGTAGCACAAAGACCCGTTTGTGTGAGTGTTTGCTGGCATAAATTTCAGGAACACAAATAGGCTGAACTAGAAAGGCTAAAAGTGGTAGGTTTGAAATACAAAATGATTGCATCTTGCAACATCAACGGACAATAATGGATCGCGTGTATGAATGATTTGGTATCAGACATCTGAAACCACTCTGTGTTCTCCGGTTGGACTCTATGATTTGTACAAAAATAAAAGTGGACGTAACAACAAGAAACGTTATCAAATTCGTGCATGAACTCCAGCCTTCGACGAGGCTTCTGTGAATTACTCCTGCTATTTGAGCCAGCAAGGAGAGAACAAGGGTCAATAAACAACTCCACCCAAAATATCCATCCATCCATTATAACGCCTAATCGAACATCGTTTACGCTGGGTTACTCTTCCCGTACATGTAATCCGACATATGTGTTTCCTGACAATCCTTGATCATGCTGTTTCCAAGATCCTTCCATCATTACCCTCTAAAAGTCTTAAACCGGATCAGAAAGATCCTTAGCAAACTTTTCATACCCTCTATACGCGGTGATAGTAGCATGGGCGTCTGATCCAAATACCTTCGCAAGTCCAGCGCAAGCCTCTCTGAAAACCTTTTTAGCCTCTTCAGGACGGTTTCCCAAAAGATGCATCACTTCGGCGAGATGGGCTTTCGCTCTGACGGTTTCAGGGTGGAGGTCACCCAAATTTCCCTCATAAGCTCGTGAGATATGACGATAAAGCCCAGCGGCTTCGGTGTAACTCAAGGCATCGCCGCGTTCACGCTTTGCAGCTGCCATGTAAGATAAGCACTGAAGTGTCCAGTGATGCTGAGAACCAAATACTCGAGTAAGGCCCTCTAAAGCCTTTCCATGAAGAGCATCGATAGTGTCCAACATCTCCTCTCGCCCTTCTTCAAGGGGGAGCTGCCCACGTATAATTTCACCTCGACAGGTGAGACTATTAAGGTAATCTGGATGTGACTCTCCGAGAACGCGTTTTCTACCGATCAACACAAGATCCATTTTGTGGAGAGCTCCGCTATGTTGACCAAGGCCAGCAAGGATGAGAGCTTGGAGGTGGAGACTCGTGAGCTGCTCGGGATGAAAGTCATCGCTTTCGAAAGTTCCTTCGGTGTATATTTGCGTTCTATCAACCAGAACTTGGGAACTTAAACTCTGAGCAGCATGACATCCTTCTTTGAGCCTCAGACATTCTGCAATCTGGTGTCGACTTGTCAGTATGTCCGGGTGTCGCTCACGATCTAGCCATGGACCATGTTCTCTTGCGGTCAAAACAGCACGGTTCATGGTTAAAGCTTCATCATATCTTCCTTGTGCTAGCATCACTAGTGCGATGTTGCTTCTACAAGTCAAAACCAGAGGATGAGAGTCGGATAGGTGAGTAGTGAGAACGTCGGCAGCATTGGTAAGAAGTGATTCAACCTCATTGTAATCAGACGACGAAACGGCTTTGGACAGTAGAATCCGTGCTTTAAGACTTTTGATGTATTGAGTTTGAGGATGCTCGTCGCCTTGAGACATCTGGCTTCCACGTATGGCACCTTCCACAAATCTAAGGGCATCATTAAACCTGCCAGACTTATGCAGTACATTTGCAAGGTGTTGGCAACTGATGAGAGTGTCGGGATGATTGGTTCCTAGAAATGTTGCCCTTTTCCTAAAAGCTGTCGAAAATTCTATTTCAGCAGCTTGATAATTGCCAATCAGCATGAGAGCCGCCCCATAGTCGTCAATGCTGGTACATAAATCACTTTCCGGAGCATTCATGGACTCTTTCGTTCGGCGAATCTGGCGGAAGAGGTCAACGACATCGGATTTGTTGGTACCTTCTGATAAGTACAGGATGCCCTCAACGCGTTTTTTCCACAACTCATCTGGCTGTTCCTCAGTATACGTCTGCAAAGCATCTCTAAGTTCTCCATACTTGGCTAGTAAGTCGAGTAGCGAAAGATGATGTTGAAGCACATTAAGATGTTCGTGGGGTATTGCCTCAGGTAAGGTATCAACTGCGTGTGTTGCCATCTTCAAAGCATCATTGTAGAGGCCCATGCGAACAAGATGTTTGGATTCTTTGTTGTAGACCAAAGCCAGCGCAATTCGTACAGAATCACTGTTCTTGCTTCCATCACCAAGGAAGCGTTCGAAGCATGTTTTCCACCATTCTCGATCCTTGCTATTCGAGTCAGGGTAGTGATTCCCAAAGGCAACAACTGCTTGTGTGTACCATTCCAACTCTTGCTCGATCTCACTTTCTTCCGCTTCTGATCTTTCGCTGGTAATGACCTTCTTGAGCGACAAGAAGACTAAGGGATGCAAATTGTATGTCTCGCTAGTATCGTCCTCTGTGACGAGAAAGTTCCCCTTCAAGATGCACATTACGACAATGAGATCAAGAGGATCAACCAACGAGCAGATGATAGAGCGTGGTACTGCATTGCCTCCAAGATAGTAAAGATGGTGAAGAATACGAGCTGCCATAGGGTAAGTTGATCGAAATTGTCTAGCATTCATGACGCCATTTCCAATAACAGATTCTTCTTCCGATATTGTAAAAAGCGGAGCTACCGAACTCAGCAGTCGTAATTTGAAATGATCATTTGTTCGGTATATGGAAATGAATTGCGACAGTTTCATTGAAGTATCGTTGAGTAAGTTTGAGACCTGGACAATGGCTCTCGGTAGACAATTAACAAGAACGGCGATTTCGCGAAGTTGCTCGTCAGTTGAATTATCGAATAGGTCAACAGTCAACCTGTCTCGTAATAAACACATTGTTGGTTCGAGCTCGAGACATCTCACTTCGAAGATATTGTGGGGGCCACTTAATAGACAACCGTTCGATCTAGTCCTTGTAATAAGTATGATGGCACCTTCGAATCTTTGTAGCCTGTCAATCAGTCTACCACGCTCAGTGTGCTGCAGCAGAAAATCAAAATTGTCCCCGGCATCAACGACCAATAAACTTGCGGAGTCTCGCCCAGGCCGTAGCCAATCTTCTAATGGTTCATGTCCGTCGACGGAAGGTGCAAGCAAGTTTCCAGGCCCGAACCAATATATTGATGCGGGTGACGCTTCTCTAATTTGGTAGACAAGCTCAGTAATGAGCTCGGTTTTCCTGTTGATGTGAGTTTTTGACATTCAAATTATTGAGGGCAAATAACATACCCTATTCCTCCAAGCCCTACTACTGCCAATCGACTCTTTTGGTCCGGTTTCCATAGGCTAAGTAGTTTTGCCAGAGTTGAAGAGCGGCCCACGAAATTGGAATTCCGGGGAGGTGGGAATTTAAACTCTGATTTTATCGATGAAGGCTCAACTTCCGTTATCACAGATTTCTCGAATGCCTTCTCAACGGCTTCTCTGACCGCCTGGTCAATAATGGTATTGATTTCTCTAGTATCAGCGACAGCATCTTTAGCCGTGTCCTGGAGTCTCAAAGATAGATTCTCCACGGCTTGATCAAGTGATTTGTTTAGATGTTGTGACACATGCTCAGAGAGTTTTGTAAGGATATATGGATCTGCATCAGACATTTTCGCAGAAATAAATGGACAATCTGTGGGCGAGTTCATTGCCACTAATGAGGGTAGAGGAAGGGGGGCATGAAAAGAACGAAGAGGGGTAGGGTTCGCATTGACTTATGGGCTCTTTGATCACCTGCCACTGGGTAGGAGTTATATAGTATTTGGGCACGATAATGGCTGAACAACGGCTTCACCAAAACCTGATCCTTTCAAACGAACCGTGATATCACCGTCAGAAAAATCCTGAAATTACTCGCAGCAGTCGTAGCAAAGAATGATTCCGGAGACCCACCACAAACTTATGTGGTACCATTAGAAGCTGGAGACTGGCATCGGAAACCAATGAGATGCTTTGGGGGCCATCTTGCAAATTCTTTAGGTCTCGGATTGTTGACGCGAGCTGAGGCTCATGATAATATTGGGGATCGATGCAGTCATCGTTAGCTACGTGCTCCGCGTTGATGCGGCCGCTAACTGAATATATACGAGGTGTGGTAGCCACTTGGATGTTATTTGATAACGTAGATGAACCATCATGGATTATTTCCACGTCGTCGCTGTGATTAATGATATAAACTTCTTGGGCGAGCGTGAGTTGGCAAACATGTGAACCAATAGAAAGGCATGTAGTTGAAGAGTTTGCCGTCCTCAGTTATTTCATATTCAAACACCTTACCAATCAATTCTCACACGCCGTCTTGATACCACTAGTTACTTAAGCGACTGGCGCTAAGATAATGATAACGAAAAAAATTATCTCACTCATGTGAAATTCAGTGAGAAGGCAGAATCGAATACTCAAGAATCGGGCAGCATCCAACCAGCATTATGGGTAAAAAGAGACTTGGTGCTTTGGAGAAGGTTGATGCGGATCTGTAAGAACTCAATTGGTACATTTCTACTAATCATTGCTGATCTCTATAGTCCAAATTTACAATACAAGATTCGAAGAGATCCAAAGTAAGTTACATGTCTTCTACACTGAGTAATGGAAGCATCATCTAACAAGTATACCAGATCATACGCAGAAGATTTTCTAAATCAATATGGACAGTACCAAGCACAAAGAGACATTTTTATGTCTTCTCCTTCCACTGCGACATCTGGTGGCATCGTATCATTTCACGACCTCATCGATTTCGTCGCGCATTGTTCAGACTGTTTTCCAGAAGATACCGCAGAATTCCCAGAGGATCTCAAGCAGATTTTAACTTTACACCATGCCGAACTTGAAAGCGAATTGCGTGAGAAGATCGTTGGTAGTCTGGTATTATTGCGACGAAAGGAAGTGATTGATTCGGCCAACCTTCTCAATACATTGTTTCCAATATTGGTGGCTACGCCTAGTAAAACACTCCGAACACTACTATTCCAGAAGATCTTGTCAGATCTCCGCACTTCGAATTCGAAGAGCATAAATCATCGTCTCAATCGAACAATGCAGACAGCACTGTTCAATTTGCTTACCTCCGACCGAACATCTTCCAAAGGAATCTGGGCTGTCAAAATTACAAGAGAATTGTGGAAACGACAGATCTGGACAGATGCAAAAGCTGTTGAGATTATGAAGGAAGCTAGTTTGTCAGATAATGAGAAGGTTATTGGCGGTGGAGTACGGTTTTTCTTGGGAGGCGACAAGGAAAGAGAAGAGATGGAGGATGAAAGCAGTGACGAAGAAGCCATTGATATTGGTAAGCTGAAACATCAAGTTGGAATCAACAAAAAAACAAAGAAGAAGACCAAAACATTGGAAAAGGCCGTCGAAAAGGTACGAAGGAAGGAAAAGAAGAGCAAAGCACCTCATCCACTGAATTTCTCCGCCCTGCATCTCTTGCACGATCCCCAAGGTTTCGCCGAAACCCTGTTTTCAAAACACCTTCAGAACTCGAAGTCGAAACTAAACCTCGAACAAAAACTGATTGTCCTACAATTGGTTTCGCGACTTGTTGGCTTACACAAGCTTACTGTAATTTCATTATACTCGTACTTTACTAAGTACCTTACACCACGACAACCTTCTGTAACTTCATTTTTGGCATCTCTAGCTCAAGCAACACATAATCTTGTTCCACCCGATGCTTTAGAACCTTTGGTACAGAAGATTGCCAATGAGTTCGTCTCTGAAGCTTCTGCCTCGGAGGTCGCTGCTTCCGGACTGAATGCCATTCGAGAAATTTGCGTACGACAACCATTAGCTATGAATGATACACTTCTACAGGATCTTATTATGTACAGAAAGAGCAAGGATAAGGGAACAATGATGGCAGCGAAAGGATTGTTGTCCTTGTACCGTGAAGTTGGAGCAGATATGTTGAAGAAGAGAGATAGAGGAAAGACAGCTACCATGGGTCTCAAGACTGGATTAATCAAAGAAAGACGTTTCGGTGAGGAAGAAGCCGGCGGTATCGAAGGTATCGAACTACTTGAGCAGTGGAAGGAAGACGAAAGAAAACGGAAACGAGTCGAGCGTGGATTGCCGGAGGAATTGGGCACGGATGAAGAAGAGGACGATGAGGAAGATTGGAATGCATGGGATGTTGAATCTGATGCTGATAGTGATGAGGGTGGCTGGATCAATGTCGAGAGCGACGCTGAAATTGAGATCAGTGATAGTGAAGATGAAAAGCCGGCCGCGAAGAAAGCGAAGCTCGAAGTTAAAGCTACTGAAAAGTCAGCGGACGGCACCGAAGCATCAACAGAAGATGTCGAGAAGGAAGCTGCCGACAAGGCCCTTGAACAGAAGATCTCTACATATGCAACGACCAAAATTCTCACTCCAGCCGATCTTGCAAAGCTCCAAGAGCTCCGTCTTGAGGCTAGCGTAAATAAGGCGATGGGAGGAAGGACACAGTCTCAACGAATGAAGGACGCAGCTGCGAGACATGCGGATGATGCCTTGACAGCTGATCAAATTGAAGGTTTCTCGAAGTTACAAAAGAATACAAGAGAAGAGAAGATAGCAATGGCTAGGGAAGGAAAGGGTGAGCGTAGCGAGCATAAGTCTACAAAGGCAATTAGGAGGTCGAAGAAGGATGCCGAGGGCAAGAGTACCACCAATCAAGAGAAATCTCGAAAGAAGAATTTCATGATGACGTTGGGTAAGGCTAAGAGTAAGCAAAAGAGAAGTTTGCAACATACTAGGAGGGTGCTTAAAGGACATATTGACAGAACCAAGAGAGGTGGAAAGAGAGGAAACATCGGATGTTAATTTATTGGTCGTATTACAAATTAATCAAAAGCAAATTATGCAGCTTCACTAACCTGCAGTGTCGTGGACTTCAGTCAGCTCCCTGAACTTCTGCATTAATAACGATAAACTTGTGAATTTGGAGCGAAGTATATAACATCCATGCATTTCCCAGTTCTGTCAAAGTCAACATGAGCATTGGGCTGCAAGATTTCGTATACAAATGGTATTATCGTCATCCTCATTTCACCTACATGCGTGCAAAGTGCTCGAAGAGAAGGTGCAAGTCTCCATTCGCAATTGAGAAGGCACGAAAAGATCATAACTTATATAATTATCATTCTAAAAGACACACCAAGATCTACTCGATACATCCATAAGCAACATACATTAAACCATCACCCTCGACGGCATCAATATTGCATTCTTTTGTTTTGAATCGTTTGGCATGACAGTATGTATCCTTCTAGGATACTGAACTAGTTTCCCAACTACGTTATGGAGGAAAGTGACTACGAAAGCTTTTTGGTGGATGACAAAATTCAAGGGTCAAAATATCTGCCACTTAAATTATTTCCACCGGATCAGGAGATCACATGTGAGTATTTGAGAGACATTCCGCCTCCTCAATATTTCCGAAGAGGAAAAGCACCGCTTAAAGATGCAGATATATTTACAAATAGAATTGTTGTATATATCCTAGAACTACCATATATCATTCCGCTCATATTTCCACGTCCTGCGGGTCCGTCTTATACCATGAATGCTTTCACGGATGACCTCCAGAAACATGTTAGCCTAATCAACCGATTTGAAAGATAATCTAGTGATTGCACCCTTCTAACTACAGTGTAAAGGCCTCTCTCTTGTTTCCCAGTCATTCTCCAATACAACCCCCACTCCAGGGACTTTTGAAAGATACTTTTTTTTTTCAGATCCTCATGAGAATTCCTACGACGGGGCAGTGATCGAATATGAACCCGAATTCGATAGACTTTTGAGGACCTGTGGTCCGAATGTATTCCGGAAAGGGACTTCCTCGGAAACAGAAGCAGAATTAAATCTACTTGCTTCCAATCCGGCTCCACAAAGATTCTATGCCGTCGCGAATTTCTTAAAACCTAAACCCGACTTGGATCTGCCTGCCTCTGTTTCATTGCCGAAAAGACTCTCTTTTGCCGCACAGGATTTCCTGGACTCCGAGGAGCCTGACCTACCTTAGATGGCTTCTGCCTCGACTACAATGAAGTTTCATTCTTTGCCTGCTTGTCTTCCTTGTCGTAAGCATAGAAAGAAATGTGACAGACATTCACCATGTTCCAGATGTATTCATTTGAACTAGTCTGGTGAAATAGTGCATTGCATTTATCCAGTACGCTACTCATTTCAACTAAAACCCAGACAGCTATTTACCCCTATCAAACGAAGCTGATCACTATGTATACAGACACGGAAATAAGTGCCAGGCGTATCAACAAGTGGAGAAACGGATGTTTTTAATGCAGAAAAAGCTGTTGCATCGAATTGAAGGCGCCCACTACCAAAATCAGTTCAAAGCTCAAAGGGACATCAGAGGATCAAAGGAGAAGCGATTGAAGAAGTGATCATCGGGAACTCGACGAATTCGCGGAACGAGTTTTCTTTCTGTCGAGTTTTCATTTGAAGCTCTATCGGCGAAAAATTGGTAGTCTAAATTGGGTATTGTTTTGCTTTTCATAACCTTGGAATAGAAATTCATGAAAAGTCTTTTCTTAGCCATCACATTTCAGAGCATTAAACCTGATGATCAAGTTTAATATCTCCGAACTATCTTTTAGAATTGTGATATCCTAAATCTCTGGACGTGAGATCCAAATTATCTCCGGAAAAGCTAGAAAACATTCAGCGGCCTACACATACACGATATTTGTGTATCTATCAAATTTTGCAGTCGTTTATCCCCCTTCTAGTAAGTACATCGCTCTTCTGAATAACATCGCTCATTCAGTTCTCGTTCTCGACCCGAGGAAAAGGTGTGAAAATATCTAAACTCCAACCACTAAAGCCCATCCAAACTCGTCTTCACAAATTAAATCGATAATGCTCGTTTTATCCTCGTATCCTAACTCTCTCTCGTTATCTACATCCAATTAAAGTCACTTGGCTCGTCGTCATCTACATTCATCCCTCCTCTACAATCAATTTGAACGATCATTTCAAGTTGTAAGTTCCTGATGTATTCGTTCATATTATTGAAACGACTTTGCTATTATCCCTTAGCGATTTATGCTAGAGCTGGAATATGTATATAATATCCATGTGCTTGTATTCATTCGCTGTATCAAAAAGCCAGATACACAACCATATCATTGCTCACGATCCTACTCAAAGGCCCCAGTTCATCTTCCTCCTCACCATCCTCACACTGCACCATCCCTCCTGTTATCTACATACCTACACCCGCTCAAAGCATAACTGCATTATATATTCAATCTCGTGAACTCACCGGCTTCGATTTAATCCCTTCATACCTCCTCGCTCAAGTTTGCCATCTCAAATTCTCAGTCTCTACCCTGGATGTGTAAACGGGCACAACAGGAAACTCCTGAAATTGTATGATCTCAATGATTCAGCACATGATGTCACTGATATTCCATGCAGATGAATAGTTTTAATAATGAATTGAACATGCAATACCAATATGGTCTTGGATCTCAGACAGGAAGACATAGATACAGCTTCAAAAATATAGGAAGCAAGCACAAAAAGATCAGAACAAGACAAGCACACTTCCGAGGAAACACCCCATGCAAATGAATATCTATATCCATAAAAATAATCTTTGAAACCTCAAAGTTCACTCCCATCCCTATTTTCAAAACTTCTGGGATACCTGTTACATCTCTTCAAGAACCCAAGATAATTCATTGTATTGATCAGAATGCATTGAGCCATGCGAGTATCATTCTTCAAATGAAACTCGTAAACTAGAGGTCATTTGCTTCACATATTGGGAACACTGACATACTTCCTACTCCGAGTCTTGCTAAAGTTTCGCCACATCTTATGACGGGAAGGGGGAGGGGGGTTAATGTTATTGCGCCGCGTGGGTTGAAATGCGATGTATACATGTAATCCATATAGTGTTTAGGCAGGAAGAAGGGAAGAGAGGGAGGGGAAGCAGTTCAGTTGAACACCATAGTCAATAGATGGGCCCTCAGGACTATCCGCAACACTCCATGGGAACGCAAGCCATTACTTTGATTATTCGTGCAGGATTGCAAATGAGTTCGCTGGTGGACTAACAACATATAGAATAATGTAAAAATTCCTAGCACCCACTAGACCATTATACCAGGGAATTTTTCGTTGTGGGTGCATTGTACGTTCATTTGCGTTCATTCGAGTCCCGTCAGTACAAACTTCAATCACCCACTTCAATAAAAGTGCCTACCTCCTTACATCCATTCTGTTCTCCACCCAAACTCATGTCATCAAGTCATCAATCCACCAATCCCCCCACTCTCATACCTCATACCCCATGCCAACAGTGTACCAATCTTCCCCAACTATCCAAGATCCCTCCCTGTCGATCGAAACGGGCAAGATGACGGAATTTTATGAAGGAACTAACCATCAACCATCGATTATGGGGAAATGGGTATCGCAAGTTGGACGATATTGATCCCGATGCAGCGAGACTACTAAATTCTCAATGCGAGGGGTCTCTGGCTCTCGAGAGCACTGCAACTCTAGGTTGAAACTACCATACGCGCCAAGCACAGCAGAAAGAACAGCCAGTATTATCCAGTTTCACATTCACTGGCAAATCTTGGAAGGAACTCAGACACAAACCTTTGGAGTCAACTCCATAGAAACCTCATACAAGCGGGGAATGCAGGTGGAAGATTCGTGAAAGCATAATTCGATATATAAAGCTGAAGCGGCCTGGCTGCGAATTTATTAGCAACATCTGTCAATCATCGTACATGTCACATGTGAAGCTTTGGAATGTGCGGGATTTGTTCATCAAATTTGCTTTTGTATCTGGAGGTATCAAAATTCTGTTGAATCACCAGATGGCATATGATCAGCCCTTACAGCCATCCTAGGCTCATGGTTCCATACAAATTTGTGCACTTAAACCGATGACACAAAATCACTGAATGCATATATCCATTATTCCGGTTGTGTCATGACTTTTTGCATTCATAAAAGTCGTTTATGTGACAGAAATGCAGCCAATCGCCCATTCATCCATAATGCAAATTGAAACACCCCACAGAAAATCCCCGAATATAACCATTTAACGATTGCTCTTGGCGACACGCTCCAACTCATCCTTCTTCTTGATGGCGTAGGAGTTGCTGCTTCCCTTAGCAGCGTTGATCAATTCTTCAGCCAAGCACTCAGCAATGGACTTGACGTTTCTGAATGAAGCTTCACGGGCACCGATGGTAAGGAGAGCAATGGCTTGGTTGACACGGCGGAGAGGGGAGACATCGACGGCTTGACGACGAACGGTACCGGCGGATCCGATACGGGTGGAATCTTCGCGAGGACCGCAGTTGACGATAGCATCAACGGCAACTTGGATTGGGTTTTGGTCGGTCATGATGTGGATCTATAATTTTGATGGTTAGAATTTCCTGCAAATGTATCACATTGTGGTCGGACGTACGATCTCGAAGGCGTGGGCAACAATGCGGACAGCCATGAGCTTCTTTCCGTTGTTGCGACCGTTCATCATCAAGGAGTTGGTAAGACGCTCAATGATTGGGCAGTTGGCCTTTCTGAATCTCTTTTGCGCATAACGACCGGCGGAGTGGGAGATGTAGACTGGGGCTCTGATTTGAATGTAATCGCTGTTGAAAAAATATCGCATTAGCCTTTGGCTCTTCCTATAATTCCCCTCATCCAAAACAATTGTCGAAGATTTTCCAATTCCATCCTTTTCTCCTCCATATATAATTCGCACTGGGTAATCTTACGTCAAAGAGATGTCGCGAATCTCAACATCCTCGTAGCTCCATTTGTTTGAAAAGCTGCAGATTGTCAGCTTCAATATTCCCATTTGTCGATAAGTTTTTAATTGAGTTGTACCTTGATGCTTCCAATCTCCTCAGTGACCTCCTTTGGGAGCACTTGGTAGCCGGAAACGGCCTCGACTTCGATTTCTCCTTCAGACATGATTGCGATGGCTGATTTGTGGAGTTGGCGGTGGTGGTTAAATTTACAAGTTGTCGACGTCGGTGAATTTTCTCAAGTTGATAGAGTTTCCACTGGAATATTCTTGAGGCGCTAAAGGGTTTGTGTGAAATTCAACCCTCGCTTATTAGTGATGGCCTGAATGCCTGAACATCGATTTCTTTTGAGGAACATGAAATTTTCCGCGCAAGGCAATAATTATATTGGCAATGAGGACATTGAAAATGGATTATTTGATTTTCTTAATTGATTTCTATTTTTGTTTTGAATTCTGAAGAAGTTCCAGATCTTTCTTGAGCGGTGATAAATACATGATTGAGGCGCAAGGCTTAACATTATGTTGTAGCAGCAAATTCCGATGAGACCGGCTATACAAAATTTAAAATCTCACGTCTTTTTACGGTGATGTGTGGCAACCATGAATGCGAATATGATCATGGCCAAGTCGAGCTTCTACATGAGCCATATAAGTGCCAAAATGTCGTCAACATCTTTCCTCCAATTACCTTCACCACCTAGTGATATACCTGAGGACGCCATTTGGAATAGATCAATATCTTGGAAGTGCCACCCACATAGATAGACAGACGAGATTCCTGTCGCTCTTGGTTGTGGTGTTGAGACCCTTCATATTGAAGTATGAGAAACATCGTCAACCCATTCGTAATAAGTTGCGCCAAAGCGAGATATGGATATCTTGTAATGACAACCGATCCTTTCGTCGAGATTGTTCATATTCTGCTCTGGTATGCCGTGCATATGGCGGTGAGCTGATTGTGTATCCTTTGCACATAATAATTTTGAGTGTATGTCCGATTTTCGAAAACCCTCACTGCCCGCTCTCGACAGATCGAATGAGCCACGGATAAAACAATACAGGGAGGGGATTGACAAGTATTCAGATGAACAGAGTTATTCCTTCCTTATTTCCCGAGTTGAGTTCAGCCACTTCAGATATTGTCATCGCATCTGACTGAACCTATTGTCCTGTCCACCCAGCGCATATTTTATCAGATTGGTATCGGGCGGCCGAGTCGTCGAAGGTCAAGTGAACTCGCGCAATTGCCTGCGCAGTCTCATAACCGCCATATCGATTTAGAATTAGTGTCTGCGGGTGATTCAATCGAGGGCGAATATCCTCGAGGTGATTGCTGTTCAAGTGGAAGAGCTGATGCGTGCCAAAACGAGTACATGTAGATTCAAGACAGGACTTACTATGAGACGTCACGTACTTTTGAATTGAGAATAGATCTGAATGGTTGCATAGGTATTATTGACCTTCGATATGCAAAGTTTCTCATGTTGTCATTCTCTCGTGGTGTATAATTAATATCAATTGTTGTTGAAATACTTCCCCTCATAATGTGTAAAGAGGTGTTGCGATAAGATTGTCGAGTTGAGATCTTGGCGTTCGGTCGCACAATCCTTAGTCTTATTTCATGCCTGAACATCAATCGTGCTTCCATTTCAATGCACATCTCTGAAATCCCCTCCATTATCAGAAATGAAGTATCGAGAACCCATTCTGAACATCGTTAAAGAACAAAGGGAGTTTAGAGGGCGTTCTTTCTGTTCACATACTTGTCATGTTGAATGATACGATCATAACTTTTTACATTTAACTCCATCAGGCCCTTTGGTTGTGATCTGGGACTCTTTGGAGAGCCACGACAAGAGAGCTGCATGCCTATGGCATAAAATGCTGGGTATCATTTGACATCATTCAATTCTACACCTCAAACAAGCACGCACGGAGGAAAAAAGCACAAATTTGCCTACAATATAGTATATCTTCTCAAGTATAGCTTTCCATTTTATCTCCAACCCCCACAGGTTTTCAACCAACCCAAGTGCTATTCATTGTCTTTCAGAATCACTGTCTCTAGCTTCCCCCAATTCTTCACGATTCTAGTTGCCATATTCAATACAGCTTTTAGTTGCCAGAATGTCACCACCCAGTATTTATCCGGGTCCGGAACCGCACGTTTGATCGCTGCATTGACAAGGTTGCGTAGATCTTTATCTTCCTTTAAGTCCCTTCCGATCAAGAAAGATACCTCTTGCAGTAGCACAACATGTGCAAGTGCGAAGGCTGACATAGTGGCTGTATTGCAGCTGGCGCACTATGTCATGAGAGGGTTAGCAAAGAATCACCAAGAAAATATTGTATTATTTACTACACTTTCAAGGATGGTATTGTCATCCCCTCTGTCCGGTAGTACTAAGCTACTACAACTGAAGCCCATGCCATTGGCAGCACACTGCACCATTATTAAGTCAGTAACCTTCAAGAGACCCATTTTCTTAAGCTATACTAACCGTAGGGTCAGGAACGTAATGATGGCAACGATACAGCTGACCAATTTTGCACGTTATGATAGTTTATTTGAAGTTTGATTCAGTAAATTGGGCCTGTTGTTGCTGTTATTGCTGCTGTTGATACCGTTGATACTGTTGCTTCTCAGAGTATCGTGGCTCTGGGTGTCCCGATCTTGGGGTACATGATCCTTAGGATCATCCTCATTTCTCAAATTCACTGATTCTGCCATCTCAATCTTGCCATAATCCGACTGAAGGCAGACATCGTGAATTCACTGTTGGAAAAACATTCACTGGCGCACGAAGCGACCCCTGCCTTGCTGTATCGCGGAGAATAGGATGAGTGGCTCTTTTGAGGCATAACAAGACCACTCCTGGAGCCAATAGCGTGTTCGTAAAGTCTGGGTCTAAACACATTAAATCAGATCTTTCGATGTCGCCTTCTTTGACCCATTTCTTGAGCTTCAGAGTCGGCCTCGAGAGGATGCAATCTGATACCCCATGATACTACGCCCAATTGAATCGAAGCAGCAGAAGTGCATGACAGGTAGGAAGATGATTGCCCTCTTTTGTCCAATTTCATCCTTTCCCACGTTTAGTACATGCACATTGGAACTGATCATTTCATTCGCTTTGAGTACTTTATTGTTTAGGGCCCAATTATAAACAAACTCTACGAAAATTCATGCCTCGGTTAGTCTAACTAACCTTAAGAAAATGGCGCTCTCAAATACCATCTGGAAGTGTCCGTGGTCGTCTTTGCATATAGCGGAACTTATAGTTTCCATAACCCTTATCATTACCCTTGGCATTTGGTGCCCACTCCCTGAAATCTACATCTAAACACTGTACGGTTTCAAAGCCATGCTTTGTATGAAACGGAAAGCCGAAAGGCGAAGCTTGCATGAAGATGGGCAAGCCCTTCTTGTCTGCTAATTTGTTGCCATGTTCAACGAGAGCATTACCCATACCACGTTGTTGGAAAGTCGGTTCTGTAAAAACGGCTTTGCAAAGAATGTGGCGTTGCCCTTTAGGTCATCTCTCCAGCCAACGATCGGTGTCAGCCTGCACGAACACTGGCAGGCCTGGAAGGAAGTCAAATTCGCCTTTAGCCAAATCCTTTGTCGAAGCTAAGATCTTCGCTGCAGCCTTCTCATCTCATTCTCTGATTTCCACATCGGTTGGAGTATTCCATGAGGCCCAAGCAGTAATCTCGCCCGTATCCTTGTCAACCACTTCGATATGCTGCCAATTCGGCTCACCGACTTGACCTTCGAGTATCTCCGTCACTCTTTGCTCGAATTCTTTTGGATTGTCGAACTACAAGGCAAAAGCATTGTCGGGGAGATAAGCAACAACGTGAATGTCAGCAAGTCGGGGTATATCTGCACGAGTCGCAGGCGCAAGTTCAAATGTTGGAGACGTTTGATTCATGATGCTTGAGTATTATATGCTGAATATATTTTGAGATGAAATAGGCAATCTGAAATTTATGTTTTTAAAGGCTCTTGCGATGTCATCTTCGGTTGCGAGATTATATAGATTATTGGCTCTATAGAGCTAAACTCAGAATACAATGGATAAGAGAAGTGCAGGCGGTGCAGCAAACGACATATACAATGTGGAGTCGCTCAAATTTGCGTGATACTCCCGGAAGTTGTTGAAAGATTGGAGCCCTCCCTCGGCCTCCGTATAGCATCGCCTACAAGCATCAAAGACTGCCAAGATAACGAAGCTCAAGGATGATTGCATGTGCGTTGGATTGATGCAGAAGAAGACAGACTTGGCAGATACCGAACAGTTGGGACCGATGAGGCTTGCAAAAGCTTGGCCGGCATTTTGGTGATGCTATTTTGAACGAGTCCTTCTCTTCTTGCTGTCTCTGGGATTCTCGACAGAGCGGGGCCAAGCCGCAACAGGCCGAGCTTATCAATATGTAAGCTTCCAACACCACCAACATTACGGCTCACCTCCAAACGTTAGAAGTCTTCACGGAAATTATAGCCTGGATTTTGCCGCATTGATAGATTATCACTGTGATCTTTTTACTCTTGACTGGCGTAAAACCACCTTTTGAATCCGGATATCGTGTTATCCCGCTGGTTGCATCTTGTAACTTAGCAAGAATTATCGGGACAGTACTATCAGGAAAGCTTCGTATCATTATTGATACATACTTGTGGGTGCTATGCTTCTGGCGATAGGAAGCGGTCTTCTCACGAAATTGTATCCCACAACTTCAAAGAAACGAATGGGCAATGAGATTATCGCTGGCGCTGGCACGGAACTTAGAGGTCCACTTCTCCTACTGTCTCTACACTCAAATAGTCTGCCTTCTGCTGTACCACAGCCATGAGACTAAAGTAACTGTCTCTGGAAGGATTTTGAGTGAACGTTACTGAAATATCATCATCAACGCAGCCTAAGTTACAACGCAAATATTATAGCCACCTGGTTCAAGTATCCTGCTGATATTCACCTCATCACTAGCCTTTATATTCCGATATCTCATATCTATTATCCTATTCCATAGGGGACAGGGGATACATTCGAGCTATCCAGAAACTTCACCGGAGCCCATCAAGCAGTCAATTCATCATTATATCAACGGACTGTCAGAATGTAAGCTTCAAAGGCCTATGCTCGGGCCCTGAGAACTGAGCATAATATTAAATGCTTAGTTTGCATTATCAAAGAACAATTTCATCTCTTGCTTTTTCAATTCCGTTTTCAATTTAATTGATCACGTGGTGCCAAATCGGAGACAGGATTGATCAGTGTCCAAGTAGACTTCAGACAATCGGGCTCGATTCTCCAAATAAACTTCAAGCAACGGACTCAATTCTCCAAGTGGACTTCATGAAATGGAGATTGATTCTTTGAATTCAGCCGAAACTATTTCACTTTATTGAACTAGCATCCATCTTGTGAAATTCATCAAGTGGATTTCACGTGATCCCATCCACACGGGTAGAAACAATCCTCATCTTACTCATCGCTCCTCTTGGTCTGGTGATCAGTGTAATCTGTTAATAAGCATCTCACCTCTTGAAGATTTTTATCATTCTTCTACTATGACTATATGTCTTGCTACATACCGCTCACCATGTATTTAGTTGTATAAATATGTGAAGTCCGTTTTGTAGATTTTAGTAAAGCTCACTCTTGAGGCCCAGACTCATAGGAGGTGAAGCTCATGTCTTATTTGTTGGTACCATTGAACTTCACAATTTTTACGACTAAAATTACTTCAATTTATGCGTCTTACATTCTAGCCCTTTGCACCCACAAATGTTCTATTTAGGTCAGTATACTGCAGTAACGAGATGAACCAAAGGATTAAACGAGCAGCGTAGCTTGCCAATCTCACTTCATTAATCTTCCGTGCTCCTTCTGTGACCCCAACGTTCATTCCTACCCAATTCTGATGTATTTTACACCACCCTCTGTTTTTTCCTCAATGTTTTAATAGTTCGCGGAGCGCATGTAAGAAATCCATTGCATCGTGGTTGGCCACGATTTCAAAAGGATTGTCATGCCATGCACCGCCATAAGTGGCTCTAGAATACTACACCGGCCTGGCTTTGCCGCAAACAATCCCAAGCACGTAAATAAATATAAGAACCTAGAGTTTAGTTTAGTACTCTCCAGGTTTTGTTGTCGTCACTCTTTTGTTTTCCTATCTCCTTTCCGTGTGGCATTCGCTATGCGGGCATTTCACAATGTTTCTTTGAAATTAATATTGCTTGAATTTGCAAGCTTAGTTCATTCATTTCGATTCACGAACACGGCCTTTAATCCCGTATTAGGACAGCAATTTACAATCACCTGGGTTGATTCAACCGGATCCGTTAACCTCCATCTAGCGCCCGTTCAATATTATAATGAAAGTGTTTCGCTAGCCGGCGCAGTATCGATAGGAGGTGTGTTACAATAAAGGCATTGCTCAAGTATTACACAAGACTGACGGTAGAAATGGCAGTTGCAACATCGGGAAATTCATTGACTTGGACTCCGGATAATTCACTTCGAGCTGGAGTTTATAAGATATTTTGGGTTCCTTCAGATAACACTCAGTCTGAAGTTGATAGTCCGACATTCACACTCGGTCGAATGCCCGCTGGCTCTTCTACCAATACAAGCAGCGCAAACAACAGTCAGGCTAGTTCGATCGGCGCAAACTCAACCGCTTCACCCACTGTAACATCTACCTCCACCGCAGAAAATGGAGGAGCAGCTTCAGCTTTGACTTCACCAATGAGCACTCAGTCCGCATCCAATTCCTCCAATTCCCTCACCAACACCATAAAAATCAGCATCTCTGTGAGCATAATCCTTGGCGTAACACTCATCATGGTCATCGCCTTTATACTCATCCGACGTCGCCGCTATCTAGCGTCCACGCCTCGGACAAAGAGACAACTCACTACGAAAGAAATCGCAGATGATAATGATTCTTGGGATGGAGAACGTCAGTTTAAACCCGAATTACCTACTGAATCAGAGGCTGCGACAAGATCGTATGTTGATTTAGTGAAGAAGAAACATGTGAGTGTTAATGCGGAGCCGGTGGAGATGGATGCGTATTTTGTTGAGAAGGGTGTGAAAAGTGGGAATGAGATAGATGAGCAGAACAACAGACGGAAGACGAGAGAATCGGATATGGGACTAGGACTAGGATTGGGAGACGTAGAAGAGCTGGTTGAACCACGAGAGTTGGATGTAGGAAATTCTGGGACGATCTATGGTGAAGGAAAAATTGGCCATCGGTTTAATGTGCGAGATAATGTTAATATTATTGGAATATAATTGAGTGTATTGATCAAGTATGGATATGAGATCTTTTACGAATGATGGTGAAATTCTGGAAGCTAGGTCCTGCAAGTGCTGGACAGGAGTCTTCTGTACACATTTGTGTTGGTTTATGGTGACTAATATCTCAACGCGTTATGGACGAGAGGGATGGAGAGATGAGATCCAGCCTAGGAAATTGAAATCAACAAATGCATACATAATGTCTCCATTATGCATACGCAAGAAATCTTCCTTCACGTATCAATGTCGCCAGGATTAAATTTTGTCACCTAAGATTGATTTCGAACCCAAGAAGTTTACAAAAACCGCTTCACCCCCCTAGCTTCTCTCCACTCCCTTTCTCGCCTCCAACTTCCCTTTGTCAATCCAACAATCACCATTCCTTCCGTCATTATTCATCTTCTCATAAGAACTTATATTCCGCAATAGCCGCATCAAACGCCGTATCAACAGGCGCCACAATAGTTCTATCACATATCAGTTCCCAAACTCTCTAGTCAAATATGAGGTCAGAGATTTATCAAAAAATCCAACGAACCTCGCCGTTTCCTGAAAAGCTGCCGGAATCTTCTCAATGATCTTCGCACTAAAACTATCTGTCGCACTCTTCTCCTCCAGCAAATTCAACAAGATAAGCGGACTGATGAGGAGTTTGTCGAATTTGGGTTTAGCAGATACGAGCGTATCGAGAGTTCCCTCTACGACTGTGACGAGGTTTTGCGTTGCGGTGGCGATGGTGATGGTTTCAATCAAGGTGAGATTTGCGGAGGAAGAAGCGACCCAGGTGCCGGTGTTGATGTCGATGAGAAGTTTGGCGGAGAGGGTGACGATGGGAAAAGAGGTTAGAAGACTGCCGGACCACTGGAGAGTGGAGGGGAGAGCGTTAGTTGGAGGGATGGATGAATGAATGAATAGAATATGATAATGATGGGAAGATTGGGAGGGGAAATGTGACATACACTAGAAACTGTTTGGTTGAGAGAGGGTGTTGTATTTGAGATTTCTGAAATGGCATCTACGATCGCTTTGCCATCACAAAGGACTTTGGAGGCGAGGAAAAACACGGGCAGGATAGTGAGACGCATTTTCAAATGAAGTTTTGGTCGTAAGGTGTGACAAATGAGAGTTAGATGATTACGAAGATAGCTTTCAGAAAATTTTCTCTGATTTTACATATGTATGCGTATCCGTATTATATATTCCAGATCGGATAATCCATCGTTACCTCTCACTCTCTCAATGGCATCGATCGGCAAGCAACCAGACAACAAATATCTGCAGCTTTTAGGCACTTCCAATGCATCGAAACCCTCCAATATTCTCTGGTGGGTGCTCATCATAAACAGTAATGATATGATGAGGGGAAGCACAAATGAACAGGATCAATGACTAGTCACCCGCAGCCAATTCCCTGCAAAGTTCCTTCGGCACAAAAGCATGGCAAGCTTAATTTTAATCTTCGGACGGATATCATAAAAAAATAAACAAGCTAAACATGCTGCAGGAACACATGTCTGCGGGGTAATCTGGGGAAGTATCCTTGTCTGCCGCGGTTTAGGGTTTCACATGTGAAGGACCGGTAGGGATGATTTTGACAAGCGAGATCGAGGAAGTTTCTCAGTCAATTATCCTACCTTATGTGATAACGTGATTAAGGGTTTCTTGCCAGGCGAATCGTGCGGAATGCACATGGTTTTTAAGCTAGGATTTCTTGATGCATTGAGAGATTTTTTCCGTTGGCTTGTGGAACAGTGTCTTAGGAAAATGGGTCGCAAGGACCGTTGCATTCAATGCACTTCGACCTGCTATGATTACAATTGATAGCAGTCTTAACAGAGCAAAGTAATAATGTCATTGAATTTGATGCGATCGTTCAAAAACGATGTAGAGGCCCACCGTTCACAGATCAGTTTTTAACCTGATGCAATGCTCTGCTGGTCTAAAAGAGGGATCAACGTTCCCTCATAGAAAGTGGTCTGTCAATCTTTTAACTAAAGGATAGCTAACTCTTTCGAGCTCTCAAATTAGGGGGGGTCAATATTTCACTTCAAACTGCATGTCATCTTTGTTCAAGCCCAGTTTTGTACAATCTATCTTGGTTCTCCAATGTCAGCTCACACATTCAACATCAACTGCCCGATGCTAATTCGTGAAACTCATGCTTGTTGATCGATAACAAATTATCCAATCAACGCGTGATATAACATTGACTCGTCGTAATATTTCATCGCTAACATCCATATCATCAACGTCTCGATCGTGAGGTGAGGCACTGGCCTTACCGTTGTCTATTTGCTCGATCAGCGCCGTAAACTCCTTTGAGTTCGTGACAGCTGCCGTCGCAACTTTTATATGGGAGTAAGTAGCCTTGTTCTAGGCACCATTCAACATCCTTTGGGAAATTCTCAAAGGTCCTGGCATCGAGGAGTGTGCTGAAAGAAAATTACCTTGGCACGCAGGCAATCCAAGCTGCCCTGGCTCATGGTCAAAGACAGAGACAAGCCAGCTAGTAGTCTTTCTCGCATCAAATTCCCCGTCAACTAGGAGAAATGAGTGATATGTCTCTATTCTAGATACTGAATGGATCGTCCACACGGAAAATCCGTTTGCAACGCTGGAGCCTGGTATCAGTGACTTGGTGCCCAGAAGGTGTAATGCATTGTTCCTACTAGAACCATAAAATCTTACGAATTCTGACTCAAAATATGCATGACAAACAGGCCCACTGAGGACTGTTTCTGATCATCCACTTGAGATCTTTTTGGAGATCGCTCTTTGGTCATGAGCCGTCCACACTTGCATCGGGAACATCTGCTTCTCTTTCTTATAATAATGAAATGCATTAAAACTCTTGTGGAATGAATCCTGATTTGATCCTCTGATCTCAATTCTGAATTACTGATTTGTGGATCCAAAGCATCGTCATAAAGGCACAGGTAGTTTGATGATATATAGTGTTGCAAGCTCGCAGAGGAAATGGATTTGAGACATTCGTCGAGTCAACCAATAATGGATGCGAATTGTATACCGCCTATGCTTTCGTTATTATTCGCTCTCCCTTCTTTCCCTAGAGTACCGTAATGCAAAAACGTGAAATAAAAGAACTCGCAAAATTGAAGGAAGTTATCGCGCCAGAACTATATCGCATCTGGCTTATGTGCAGACCTCAGAGTGGAAAGTCCGTAAAGGGAGAAACTGTATTTCAGGGGAGAACTAAGCGTTAACGTATATTGGAGACGGTACAATTCTGGCCTGTTTTAATTTAATCTGTCAATTAAATTAGTCACAATAAGTCGTAAATACCAAGCTGTTGTCGTCGATGTGCCTCCTGTGTTTCAATTAAGCTGTTCGACCAATAGATTGTTGAAATGATATCGGATGACCGGCTAAACCACGGGCTTCAACTTCATCACGTGTAACCTTAACCCAACTTTAACAATTCGGCAGTATTGATGAGCATTTGCTGATAGTTGAGTACTGGTTGATACAATCTCCAACAACTTCAATTGGCTTGGTCTTACTTTCTTTCCCAATAAAAAGATGTTCTCCACGACTTCTGCCTTCCAATGGCTTCATAATGACACTAAACCAAGATATATGGCACCACCATTTTCTACGCCTTCTCAGAAGTATGCCTACCCGTCACCAATTCTATCGTCTGAGGGAAACAACTCTTCGCTCTATAATCTCTTAACACCTTCATTCTTCTCAATCACTTCTTCGTTCCCATTCATCCAATCCTCGACTTCAAACCCCGTAGCTCCTTTGGTCAAGCCCGGAGATGGGGACGACTCGAGCAAGAACTGCTTCTTTGACATAACTGTTGATTCTGGTGGGATCTTACGCTCGTTGGTGGGTTCGTCCTTTGCTAATATAACTCCAAGCTCCCTCGGGTCGCATCACATTCAAGCTTTACGATAAGATCACTCCCCGAACTGCACGCAATTTCCGTGAATTGTGTACCGGTCAACATGGATTTGGATATGCTGGAAGTTCTTTCCATCGTATTATTCCACAATTTATGTTACAAGGTGGGGATTTCACCAGAGGAAACGTAGGTTATATTACTCACTTGCTTCCTCTCCGAGAAATTGCTGATTTAACTTTAGGGAACTGGTGGAAAATCCATTTATGGTAGAACGTTTGCGGACGAAAATTTCGAGCTCAAGCACACGAAGCCTGGTCAATTAAGTATGGCCAATGCAGGCAGAAATACGTAGGTTTTGTTCCTGATACCCGTTCTTAGTACCCATAAGCCAGTCAGTGATGAATGGCTAACCATCAACAGGAACGGCTCCCAATTTTTCATTACCACAATAGCCACACCTTGGTTGAATGGTAAACACGTGGTGTTTGGCGAGGTAATCGAGGGTATGGATCTTGTGAAGAGAATCGAAGCACTTGGTACTCGTTCTGGTACCCCAAGAGCTCGTGTTGCTATTGCTAAATCGGGTGTCGTCGAGTAAGGAGGTAACAAATTAGGACGCTTTATGTTTGTATGCTTAGTGGCTGCTCAAGTTTATTTAGCTAAATGACCATAAGATATTGTGTGTATCACACACTTGATAGTACCATGACTATTGGCTAGACATAAAATGCTATCGGCTCAATACCTTTGATCGGACGTAGTTTCTTACCATTCGGGCCAGGCTGCAATGAACTTAGCGTTTTTGTTCCGCTGCTGAATACCTTGATGAAGCAGTGAGAAAAGGAAGGCTAACATTCAAAATAGGTTTGAATCTGTTGCGTATACTTTCCCAGCTGTATTTGTATAGCCTCGCCATTTCTTCCACCATATCTGGGGCAATAGGACGACAATCTCGGGTGCAACATGAGATAAAGCTGGGACGATCAGAGGATCTCCACCTATTCTCTCATTTGATACCTTTTGATTCTTTTGCCCAGATTAAAACCATTAGCATTTATTGATTCAACGCTATTAATTAATGCGGGTTAGTTAAAGAGGCAGCTTTTCTTACAGAGACAGCTGGAAGTAATTTGAGTGAAATGAAATGGATGGGTTTGGACGCTTGTCAGCGAGTCTAGTCTATCGATTCAAATTCCCAACACTATGCCACTCAATAATCCACCTTTCATGCGAGCCCCTCTTGCAATGCTTGTTCAAACACACCCAGAAGCTCACTGTTTAGCCATTACATGCCAAGTAAACTCAAGAAGATTTCGACTAAATCGCCTCCGCACTTGTGCGGGTTTGATAGGTGTATTCTTAGTGACAGCTTGCATTAAAATTAAAACGTCTCCGCAATTATCCACCGTTCCTTTCTTGATCAAAAAAAGTAAGAAGAAGTTGGTAGCGTGGCATGTTCTTCACGCAGTATCATATCAACAAAAATATTATGCTTTCTCGTGAATCAACATATACAGGACTCGCTGCTGTCCACGTGATATATCAGAATCCTCCTTTTTATCAACGTAACTTCGATGTATCACGGTTGAAGCTTGAGAGAGAGTTATTCATAAGCTTCGAGCTTAAAATATGAAATTCATATTTTCACCACTTGAATCAGAAATACCAAAGCTTTACATGAAATTATTGATGGAGTGAAATAAACCAGAATCGACCATCTCTCTGGATCCAGAGAAATACATGTAAATCGAGTTCATTTTATCAGCCATAATAGTAGTACGCATGTGATTTTGAAAACATTTTTAATACCTGTCAAAATTACGTGATATGTTTGAAGTATAGAGGCATCATTGCATGTGCCAACAGACGCATGAACCATTCTCGCAAAGTGAATTGGCGAGATTTGGGAAATTAAGCGAGGCTATTTGAGTGAATTGGAAATTACCCTGACATCATTGAGCAATGCTGGATGCTGCATACAGATCGCATGTTTCTGATTGAAATTATGAAGCTAGGGATTTGACTTGTCTAAGCGAAATGAGAAAATATGTATCATTTTCGGAAGACTGTCAAGAGCATGGATGTTAACAGAGCGACGAGTTAACATGACTAGCACAGTCCATTCATATGAATCAAAAGGAACTCGACCCTTCAGACGCAAGAAATCGACATAAAGATATGCTTTCAAAAAAAAAAGACTTCAGTACCCATCCGAGCTATCAGACCATAAAATCCCCACCATTCAAGTGAATCCGGAAGACATACACCGATCCTTCACGATGATGAAAAGATATCTGTTTGGGCAATCCCGACATCCGAGAACTTCACGATCTTTCCGAACATCACTTTCCATCTACTTCGAAAATCTTCGGGAAAAAAAAAACTACCAGACTACTCGCTAGAATGTGCATAGTTATCTAATTATCTCGCTGCCACCATCTATCTAGTCCCCTATCCCAACCCTTCAAGCAATCACCCTAACAAAAATCTTCTACTGTCAATTGTACCATACCTAGATAAAATCCCCAATTACCCCTCCTTATTCATGGAAAAATATTCTTCGGAGCTTAACCGACCATTTCCACGCTTCGATTCTACTTCTGCGCCCAGACACATACAACGTAATAATATCTTCTCTATTTAGTATCATATAGATTCAACAATATCACAATAAACAACCAACAAAACAAAAAACCAATCATCCCATCCCATCCAACCAATAGTCCAAATTCTCATTCGCCAAATATACACATCCCCCTTCCTCTCCCCTACCGCACCACTCTAATTCCAATCCCAAGCCAGCTTGCTAGCTAGTAGGGGACATTATCTAGGAAGATGAGATGAGAAGATTTGAAAGAGCTTTATATTTAATTATCTAGTAGAGATTATTATCCAGATGAGCGAGATGAGATGAGATAAGATTAGAGAGTTCTATACCTAGATCCCAAGTAGGTAGGTAGGTCCCTCGATACTCACCATCTCCCAATCTCACAATCTCTCCATAAAGACATATCCTCATTACCACAATCCCCAACAAAAGCTGTACGGGGTTCATTTATTTTCATTTCATTTGATCTTCGTACTAGTCTAACTACCTACTCATTTATTCATCCAACCAAACAAATCCCACAACAATATATACAACCAACCATACTACCCTCACCCTTCCCTTTCATTATCTTCCAAGATAAGGTTTCCAACTTCATCATTCCTCAAGTTCCAAACACCACCAACAAATATCCTGAAAAATCCAATAATCAACATCATACACACATTCATCCAATCCAAACCAAGCCAAGACGAAACAAAAAAAGAGCGTCAGAATCCTAAATTCTATCCAAATTTCCAAACAAATAAACATAACCATAACCACAACATCATATAAACAATTCAACAAACTAACCAACATAATTGCTCATTCATTCATTCATTCGCATCCGCTACATAAATACTCCAACAATGCACACGCTCATAGGACTGGTAACCAGGTATCTGAACATATTCTATCTGTATCAAATGAACCACATCATTATTTGCTTATCTTTCCTTCTCCTTTCTGTTATTATGTTTCCCGATTTATGATTCGGTATTACTGTCGATATTTGGATTCTCCCCTTGAGGTTCTGTATCGGTTGCTGGTAGATTTGCAGTTTCAAAACTTGCATCTGTGGGAAGATTGAAGGCTGGGATATCTTTCGACACAGTTGTCTCGATCTCCATTCCAATTTCCAAGACTGGGTTCTTGTCTTTTGATGTCTGTGGGTTCTCTGTTTCAGAAGCACTAATTTGAAGAGGCTTCTTAATCTCCTTCGGAAGAGGAGCATCGATCTCCAATCTTCTCCCCTTATCTATTACCCCGATGGTCTCGCCTTGAGCTACAGCCGGCGCTGAGCTCGTAATAACCACATCTCTTCCCTGTCCTTTCCAACCAATCGAGCTCTCAATCTCCCTCACAGGCAAAGCACTCTCAGAAGCAGCATAACCTCTCTGATCGACACTCTGACCAACTTCATACCTACGGTTCTGGAAAATGGTATCCTGTACAGGTTTCCTTCCTTCAACTTCTTGTGTTGAGGTTGGTTTCAGTGCTAGGATTAGCACTACCACGCTGAGAACTAAGATGAGTATATTTTTCATATCGCGCATCGCTACACGTGCTGCTTTGACTAGAAGCTCCGTGAGTGTTTCATCCCCCTCTACCGTCCTCTCAGGGGCCTTTGATTTCGAAGGAGGAGCATAGGTAGAAGAAAACTGTGTTGTTTCGCTTCGGGTTGAAGCTTTCTCATGGATATCCCTTAATCTCGTTTCTTCTGCCTCCTTTTCCTGTTTCGCAATTTTCTGTCGTATATTTTCTTCCTCCTTAGCTTTCATCAAGGCCTCTTCTTCCTCCATAATCTCACTAGCTCGCTCCTCAAGAACCCTCTGTTCTGCAAGTTCTGCCTCGAAAATACGTTGTGCTTCTTCTTCTAATGCCATTTCTTCTTCGTGGATTCTTTGGGCTTCTGATTGCAGCTCTTTGGCGGCTTGGCTTTCGTCGTTATGCTGTGGTGACCCAGGATCCAGGTCAGCTGACTCTTGAGCTCTATTCACTTCTTCCACAAGCCGTGTAACCTCAGCTTCAGCTTCAATCCGTAATTTCTCAGCTTCTTCTTCCTGAATTCTCAAAGTCTCTGCTTCAACATGAAGTTTTCCAGCTTCCTCCTCCGCTTTTTGGGCTGCTTCAGATTCTTTTTGGAGTCGCAAGATTTCGGCCTCTTCTTCAAACCGTCTAGCTTCTTCCTCTTTGACTCTCGCCAAATCTTCTTCTCTCATCCTCAAGACTTCAGCCTCCCTCGCGCACTTCTCCGTCTCTTCTACCGCAGCCTTAGAAGCAGCAGCCAACCATTCGTTTCTTTGGATTCTCTCTTCCAAGCCCCCTCTCTTCTGTCTCAATGTAACTTTGTCCATCCCCTGCTCATGTAACCTCTGAGCTTCCGATCCTAAACTTTCTCTACTCGAATCATCCGAATAATTTCCATAACTATCCTCATTTCTTTCTTCTGCTTCTCGTAGTCTCTCGATTAAATCTTCCATATCTTCAACCATCCATGGTTGAACAAATGGTTCAATCTCGATATCTACTCTTTCCATTTCTCGCCATGCGGCTGCCCAGGCCCCAGCTCTCATTAAGCCGTTGCTTGCGAAGATTTTGACGTTGAACCTTTTATCGTCTTCGTCTTGATCATCATCTTCGTATCTGACGTCTCGACGGCAGATGTCGCACCAAACTTTTTCTGGTCTGGGTCTAAACCTTCCATTACTACCAAATCCACTATCTCTTTCGTCCGAGTCATCGTCGGAGGATGTGGTGTTAGGACCCATATAATGCCCACACCGGAGGATTTTAGCTCGAGGGCGGACTGGAAGTTCTAAAGCATCAAGAAAACGCTCTTGAAGACATTCATAACTATCTTGTGGATGAGGAAGTAATATTCCACGAGTAAGAATGGTTTCGCTAAGCTTTTCTTGTAAAAGATAATATGCCTCACGAATACTGTAAAGATTGGCGGGAAGTTCTGGAGCAAGTATAGCTTTGGCGTACTGCCATTGCAATGGAAGAACCGTAACATGAAGAAGTACAAGGGAAGACTCTTCTCTAGTTTTCTTGAAACGAGTTGGCGTACGACTTTTGGAGTATTGAAAACCAGTTGGAGTGCCAAGACGAGAAACAGTGGGATTTTGTTGTCGTTTTACTGAATAAGGAGTGGAAAAGAGCGAAGGAGCTGGTGAATACATTTGCATCGCCCTGATATCTGACGGTGTACGGAATGGATGACGCGGTACTTTTCTCGGACTGCATGATGAATCCATTGCTCTTGGTGCAGACGTGCGAGAATGTGAACTACCGCTAGGAATTCTTGAGACGATAGATTCTGTTGCAGCTTCTTCACAAACAACCGGTGAATTGAGTTCAACCAATTGGTGAGCTTCTTCACTTAAATCGAGATGTCTGTTTGATTGCCACGAGTTTCGATTACTCATGTTCACTTTGCTGGGTTCTTCCTCCGCGGAACCTATTGACAGCCGGGGACTCTTGTCGGAACCGTCAGTGAAAACATCGTCTTCGACATCTCCATAACGTGAGCTACTATCTCTCCTTTCCATATCATAGTCCCCGCGTTCTGTTTCGGCATCGGTACTAGAAAGATCGTGGTGAAGAATACTGTCCTCGTCCTCCGTTTGTTCTTCGTCTTCCATCGTAGCGTTTGTGATATCATATGTCAATTCCGTTCCATCTTGCCCATCGTATAAATTTCTTTCATAGCTCTCGTCGGTTCCTGCGTTCGAAAGAGAATCGTCATGATCTTCTGGTTCATAGCTATCCGCCGTTTGTGTGCTAAGGATTAAATCGTTATAGTCGTTCGTGGTCGTACTCCCTATGGGATCCTTCTTTTCAATGTTCTCCAAAACCTTTCGCGCTGCATCCTTGATTTCCGCATCGATTCGCCGCATCTGTAGATCCCTTGCCTCTGCTCGCCTGCGCTTCTCCTCTCTTGCGTGTTTGCAGTCTTCGCAGTCATCATGTTCGTTGTGTTTCGTTTCTGTGCCTGCGAGTATCGAATCGTCCTCTTGAAAATCTGGTAACTCTTGATCCAATATTGAATCTCCTTCTATCTCAGATTCTTCCATCTCCAGACTCTCTTCTGTATTTCTTTGCGGATCCTCCAACTGAGACACTACTTTATCAATATCTTTCCCCTCACTTGTCGCATTCTCCCCGTCGACTTTCTTGATATCCTTATCTTCAACCATATCATTCAGAGAATTGGAATCTTCATGAATTTTAAAATCCGATTGTCGACGAGAACTTGATTGCGACATTTGACCTCGACTTTCCATATAATCCCGTTAAGTATACCCGTTTATAGCGATGATCGGGAAGTAAATATTGACGGATCTGTGAAACAGTTCATGCAGCAACCCGTCGATTAATTTTGATGATTGGTACGAGGATGAAGTTGGAGGGTTTGACAACAAGTGTACGGAGTGATTTTACCAAAATCTCATTAGTTAATTAACATGCAGTGCAGATAAAATAGGAAGCATATCTGTCAAAATTGAAATATTTGAAACCATTGGAAGATATCTGATGAAATGGAAGAGTAAATGTTGAGATTGTTCGGTTGTCGTGGTAACCATGTAAATATTTGTAGGGGACCAGGGGACTGATCTTTTAGCTTTTACCCTTCGTAGAAATGCCAAACCAATAGGTGGAATGAATTGAGGGGAATTCAACGACGAACAAATCAATCGAATATAAAATGGTAATGAGGCAGGGGTGAATGGTTTCCGGACCCTTTTTCGGGTTGGATTGAGAGTCATCTACCAAACTTTTGAGAATGTCGGTGAGTGTCAAAAAGTCAATGTCAATGTAGGTAGGTAGTTCACGATGCTGCATTTTGGCAAAGGACCACCAATTGAACATTGCTAGAACTGAGTGAATTATAAACATTGTTCTTCATGGTATTCTTGGAGTACTTTGACTCTAAATTTATCCCTCATTGCTTCTTGGTTGAAGGAGATGAAGAAGAAGAGAGGAAAGAAAATGAGAAGCTAATTTCATGCCCCTTCATCATCTTCCGAATAATTGGCGTAACCGATGATATCTAACATGCCAGCTTGTTGAAGATTTAACTTGCGGTACAACCCCGAAAGTGTGCTCGTATTGCTTCGTCCGCTTCTTAATACTTCTTTTTAATACTTCTTCTTAGTACTTACGCTTCACTTATCTTGGTCTGGGGATTTTCTATCTGACCGACTATGTGGGGAGGATTTCAGATTCCAGGGACCAAGAGCTGATCTATGCTCTGTTCCTGACTGAAGTCTTGGATGTGAGGCCACCAGTGGGCTGTCTTGTTTGGACCGTCGATTAAACTTGCCATGCCTTCATCTCTTTTTCTGTTTCTTTTGATATTGTAACACAAATACTCGATAATGTTGAGGCCGTTACACTTGCCGTTGTCGTTAATGCTACTTCAAATGTCGTACTGCATATTCGAGTAAATAATATCCAGCCAAGATCCGAGTCGATAGAAACGGGCCAGTAACGAGATATGACACTTAACTTGCTCTCGTCGTACAAAATTCCGGCTAATAAGTCGTGTAACAAGAGGTCTCTGGGTACCATATCATATTGAGGCTTGTCGTCGCTACAAATAGCACGATATCAAATTATAGCATTTTTTGAAAAGCTTCATGTTTTGAAATTCTTGAATCCAACAGAATAATTCCTTGCTAACCACGTCATGATACCTTTGTTAGTTCCAGGGGTCAACTAGTCTTATCTTTCCTTCATGCACTTCCCTCCCAAAATCAAGGTCTTAGAGGCTAGAAGGTGGAAATTGGAAGTTAGACTATCATTTCCAAGCTTATTTGTCCCTAAGCTCTGTTCTAGCCCCAGCCCAACACTTCAAAATCAGGCGGGGTGAATTATTTACTTGGAATAATGGAGGGGCATCCGAGTTTCAAAAATCGAATGTCTTGTAATCCTACGAGAATTCCATCTTTGGGATTCATTATTTAGTCTCGTAGATTCCCTTGTGTTTTTCCTAAAATTTCTTTAATTCCTATACACCTATATTCTACTACTACAACGACTACATAATTTTGGTTATTCATCAAACCCAAGGAAAGTCATTCCAAGATCTATCAAGATGGGGGACATCAGTGAAGAGAGTAAGCAACCTCTCAATTTCTCAACTCCTCAATATTCCGGTTCCAAAAGAACATACCTAATATCAATAGGAAATCCTACTCCGGAGAATATGACCATGCTCCAAGCCTTTGAATGGTATGTTCCAGACGATCATAAACATTGGCAAAGACTCCACGATGCAATCCCATCTCTCAAAGCTACTGGTATCGATAACATGTGGATCCCACCCGGATGTAAAGCTTCTTCTCAATCTGGAAATGGTTACGATGTTTATGATTTATATGATTTGGGAGAATTCGAACAAAAGGGAGGAAAAGGTACAAAATGGGGCAACAAGGAAGAGTTGGTAAAAATGGTGAAGAAAGCCAATGAAGTTGGAGTAGGAATTTATTGGGATGCTGGTAATGCTTCCTTGAAACATGCCTCTTGATATACGTATACTAACATTATCTTCTCCCTCAAGTCCTCAATCATAAAGCAGCAGCAGACCACAAAGAGAAGTGTCTTGCCCAAGAAGTCGATGAGGAAGACCGCACAAAGAACATCTCAGACCCGTATGAAATCGAAGGCTGGCTCGGTTTTGACTTTCCCGGCCGTGGCGATAAATATTCGAAACAAAAGTACCATTGGTATCACTTCTCTGGCACAGATTACAACGACGCAAACCAAAAGACTGCAATCTACAAGATTCTCGGAGATAAAACAAAAGACTGGGCAGATGACGGCGATGTCGATTCTGAAAAGGGCAACTACGATTACCTTATGTTCGCAGATCTTGACTATGGTCATCCGGAAGTAGAAAAAGATGTATTAAATTGGGGAGGATGGCTCGGAGATCAAATTACTCTGAAAGGAGTGAGATTCGATGCAGTCAAACACTTCAGTGAGGATTTTCTGAGAAAATTCATCACTCTTATGAATGATAAATATGGCCAAGGATGGTTCTTCGTAGGAGAGTTTTGGAAGGACAGTTTGGATGATATGAACAAATATTTGGATCGCATGGGCAGAAAGTTTAGTCTTTTTGATGCTCCATTGGTTTATAACTTCAGCAAATTGAGCAAGACAGAGGGAGGAGACTTGAGAGGTGTTTTTGATGATACCTTGGTTCAGACTGCACCAGTCAATGCTGTTGTAAGTTATTCTTTTCTTTTTTTCCCCTCAGAACTCTCTATTGCTTTCCCCTTTCTTTTTCGTTCATCAAAACTCTCTATCGGTTTCCCCTTTCTTTCCCTCAAACACGTGAAACTAACAAGTATCTAGACACTGGTCATGAATCACGATACCCAACCTTACCAGGCCCTCGAAGCTCCTATAGAACCTTTCTTCAAACCTCTCGCCTATTCCCTCATCCTTCTCCGCTTCGACGGCTACCCCTGCATCTTTTATGGTGATCTTTACGGCATAAAGGGCGAACATCCCTTCCCTCCATCGTGCGGTGGTGCACTCCCAAATCTTGCTCTAGCCAGAAAACTTTACGCATATGGAGAACAAAAAGATTACTTCGATTACGCAACCTGTATCGGCTGGGTGAGATATGGAACTTGGGATCGACCATTTGGTTGTGCGGTAGTATTGAGTAATGCGGGACCAGGAGAAAAGAGAATGTTTGTTGGAGAGATACATGCAGGCGAGAAATGGACAGATGTTTTGGGATGGGAACAAGGAGAGGTAGGGATTGGAGAGGATGGTTGGGGAGTTTTCAAGTGTCCGGGAACTAGTGTCAGCGTATGGGTTAATGCTGAAGCGGAGGGAAGAGATAGGTTTGGAAAGTTTGATGATGATATCTATAAGGAGTAGAGAGGCAGATGGATATATTGGGTGGGTAAATTGACTGATTGATGCAGGGCATTTTGATGTCCGAAAGAATGTTTTACGGGATTTTGGCGCTGGTGGTTAGATAATGGGTATGCGTTAAAGAGATACACACGGTACACAAGATAGACAGGATAAACGATTAAATGAATGATTTTCAGCGCAAAGTTCTAGCTCATCATCCCAGATCTAATTTTTGTACTTACTCTCTATCTCTTCGGTCAAATGACCAATTCCTTCTCTCATACTCTGTTCACGCTCGTCAATCTCACCATTTTGTTGGGGATTTCTCGAGTATTTATTATGTACTCTGCAGACTCCGGCAATAAGATTAAGGGGACGTGATTTCCCCATTCATCTAAACATCACAAAAAAGAGAAAGGAATGATTCGATTAATAGAATTCTTGATAAAATGATGTAGATATTAATTAGTTTCTACTTTGGCTTAACAAGATTGAGTAATAGTAATAGTATATCTTCATTCTTTTTGGGTATAGAAGAACCTGCAAGATGAACTCCTTGTAGAGGTGTGTACTGAGTATGGTATGCTGAAGCTAAGACTAACTAAGAATATTGGATATGATGGGATGTGTTGCTTTTCTTTCGTGGGGGTGCGTGTTGGCAGCGGATGAGACTGGTATGGGGACGTGTGATGAGAAGGTTGATGTAGGATTAAGATTGGAAGAAAATCTGATTCTATATATATAGTTGGTAAGTTAACTACCGGAACAAAGTGCAATAAACTAAGAACTCCAAAAGTACCGACAACCAAAATCGAAAGAGAAACTATTACAGGGCTGGTAAAAGAGAGCTTCAAAACGACATGCATACATATTCAAATCATGTTAGCTGATACCCCAACAACCCATATCCATATTCGTGTATCCAACTCAATCCTTTGTCGCTTCTTTTAGTCGAGATAGCGAGGCGGCTAGATACACATCTAAATCTGGCGGGATCGTCCTATCTGCACTGTTATTTCTCTGGGTTCCTCATTCCTCCTGTTAACTATCCTTCTTGAATATTTCGGCTTCGTGATCACTTTTCCTTGCTCACTCTGATATCTACTTCTTCCCGCCCAGATATCTCTCAGGCCACTTCTCCAAGTCGATTGTCATTGCCTCTAATTCTGTTTTGAATGGGTACTTCCTGGCAACCTCCCTATTGATCCCTCCTCTGTCGGCTATCTTAAAAAACTCCTCACAATCCATCTCACTGACAATTGCCTGATCCGGTATCCATTCCTCTACCAACCAATGAGTCTCTGTCACATAACTCACTCCATCCTCATATAGATGATCCTTGTCCCCATTCTTCCTCGAAATCTTCCCTCCTGAGGAATACACAAATTCATCAAAATATAAACTTGTACTCTGTGCTTTGATGCCCAATTGTCTAAGTCGATTCAGCGAGATAACGGATACACGACTTCCCGCTTCTTTCTCTTTGTGGCACTCGGGCAATCTCATAATTCGTGCAATGGATGTGGATACGGAAATGTAGGGACTGGGAACCTTGTCCCGGTTGCAATGGGATTGGAATGCGCGGCCGTCGGCTTGTCTTTCGTCTGTTACGCCGGATGTGTAGAGACTGTCTATCCAGCCTGAGCAACGGAATCCGTAGGAGCGAGAATAGGTGGATTGAGATGTTGCAGTGTGCACACGGTAGAGGAGGGTATCGGTATTGGCATTCTTGTTTGGAAGGGTGTGAGGGAGAGGAAGGGAGAGTAGATGCTTAGTTAGAGCCTCGAGCTGGGAAATGGAAGTAGCGAGATCATTTTCTTGGATTGGATTCTTTTGGCGAGTGAGGATTGTGAGTTCATTGGGGTAGTCAGCTCGAGGAGGGAAAAGTTGAGGGTCATCGTGCTTGAGAGAGTGATTGCGGGAAGGAGAGTGTATAGTGATGAAATTATCCGGAGAAGTGGATGTTAGATTGCGCATTATAGGGATACCAGTGAGGTGAGAAATCAAATGAGAAGTCCATTTTCGGTAGAATTGGAGGGTTTGATAGTATGCGCGTAAGTCCTCGGATTCGAGATTTAATTTATGATTGTGGGGATGGATAGGATTCCGAGTGATAGTCAGATCGTAGCGATCGCGAGGGAGAATGGAAGTGTTAGATAAAGATAGATTGCTGAAGGAAGGACCATTGTTCGATCCAAGAAGCGAAGCTACAGAGTCATTACTTGATATAGATTTCGTAGTTGATGATGCACCGAGACCTGAGATGAATGGATCTGATTCAGATGTAATATTTGCCGAGAATCTGAAGAGAGGAGAGGGGGACAATGAAGGGGGAGTGTAGTCAGGTGTTGAGATGAAAGCATTTCTTGGATTGTGTCTTGGAGTGGAAGGTTGAGTAGCAAAGTCGGATTCTGGTTTTGCTGTCATTCTGATGTTGAAGGTAATCTTTGATTGAATGTGACTTGATGTGAAATTGATAAAGAGATGATTACTCTGAAGAGTTTGATTTTGATTTGGTATCTTGATATTTGGGTAGAGTCCAAGGTTATAAAGACAATCGATGCCAATAGACACTCACTAAGCCACAATTGAATTCCGTTACACAGTTCTATAAACACGGCTGATTACGACCTCGAGATTTGCTGATATGCCAGCTCAGGCGCATTATCATGTATTTTCAAATAAACGCCTCGACACTTGTGCGCTATGCATCATCAAACCCGAATTAAATGGGTATATTTTCGAATGAATTGCGTTCATTATTGCTATTGAGAGGCCGGCCGCGGGCCTCGAGGTAGGTCGGCTATGCAACTCGGGCTGACAGCCTGACTAAAAAACAAAACGAGAACAAATTGTGGAACAGAAGATTTCACACCATCGAATCGTTTAAAATCGAGCGCACCAATGCGCGCATAATTCTTCAAAGATAACCACGAATATAACATGGGGAAGAACCTCGAAACCTAGAGTCAGAATTCGGAAAATTATTTGTCTGCCTAAAATGCGGCACGAACAGCTACCAAGCCACCCAAGCCGGGTTATGTGCGGGAATGATTTGTGACCACTCGTGGCTTATTGCTGAAGGATTGACGTTTCATCTTGGGGGAGGGGGAGATGGAAGCCATATGTATGGATGAATTTGGTTTTGACACAGTGAAGTAGAAAGCCAAACAACTTTCGCTTATGTTTCTACAGTTCAGAGCATGACATCAGGTACACTCAATATCATTTATCAACAGATATGTCTAGAAACAGATCCGCCCGAGTGATATTGGCTAGATGGTAATATGAAATCAAATTCAAACCGTAAAATACAATTCGATGGGTGTAAAACTATCTACAAAGACGATTAAGCACGGTAGATATATTCAGAAGACAGACAGAGAATGAACCTCAACTTCAGCATAACTACCTGTTATAACTTCTCGGAGCTAATTCGGGGCAAGATATACTCCAACCAACCGTCCTTCCCAGCAATTTGATTCTCTTTCTCCGATCAAACTCTCCGCTTGACATCCCGAAGAAATTCATCGTTCCTGAAGTATTCAAACTGGAAGGCAAACAAGTCTGCATAATATGGCTGCTCAATTGCAATATAAAATGTCTCTCTACACTGTCCCGGATTTGAAGGTTTTCACTATCCATCAATGCCAGTTCACCATTGTCTCTCCTTCTATCATTCAAGAAGTCCACAACTTCGCTGGTAACTTTATGATAGAAAATTTCTTTGCTCCAGGTCTTGAGTTCTTTTTTTACTGGGCGGTATTGATTGATCTTATTGGTGCAATCCGGACTCAATTGTTTTTGCTGGAAATATTTGCGCTTGCGTTCGCGGTATGAGGGACAGGACGAACCCTTTCCATTGCAATCTGGAGCTGGTATTGGGGTATCAGGAATGATTCGATCGCTTGGGTCAATGCCGTCAATTCTGCCGTGAATATGACAGCACCAGTAAAGTGGCGCTTGATTGCGACACATGGCTTTTGTTGCAGTTTATACGAATTTGATGTATTTTTCCTTAGGACGGCGCCAAAAAGGAAGTATCCTCGGTGATGCGATGTGTGTGTGGGTTTTGATATGAGACAATCTGAAGTACCTTATGCTGATATGCCCGAGGACTATCAAAGAATCAATAGTTTGAAAGAGCTGGAGGTATGTGGCAAATTTCGGAAATAGAAGAAAAACGAGTTTCTGGATAAGATGACTGAACTGGAATTGGAAGAGAAATTGATGAAGAGCTTCGAAAAAATATGTACTTGACATCAAAAACTATAAACCACTTCTTTAACTATGGCAAAGATCCTTTTCCAAGCACAGAACTTTGCGGCATTAGAATCACACACTTTGTTGTTACGATAAGACGCTATAATGGAATTGGTTGAATTGTTCGGCTTTCCACCAGCAGCAGCAGAGACAATGCATTTGGACCATTTTGTCTGGAACCACTTGGGAGGAGTGTCTTTGACAGTTTCGAAAGATGTATTCTCGAGGATATCATGAATATTTTCTGTACAGAGATTTGTCAACTCCCTCACAAGATCAACATACTCCTATTCAATTGACTCGAAGGACGTGTGACGTGATATCTTGGCAAACAAACTCCCCTTTCCTAAAAATCTACTCTACATCCATTCACTTGAATAAATATTTTTATCCCAGGTCCTCACACCAAGCCTCCAGAATCAACATACTCGAGGAGCCTCTCAAAACTCTCCCCATTTCACTTGACTACGTTCTATCACTCGTCTCATTTTGCCTAGATCGCATATACCATCTACATCATCCACAACCTTGTCATTCTAAATTCTCCTGAATCAGCTTTCTTAGCCACCTTGGCTTCGCCGGTTGACCGGATGAAAGTCGTCCAGGTGAGGACCCATCAAAATGTGAATGAAACCTTTATCTTTGGCTCGAACAATCAAGAAACGTAAATAAAGTGAAATAAGAATATGAAGGAAATTCCTCCTCAGATGGGTTAACTTTAGCAATTTAGGAAGAGAGGAGAGAGGACTTCTCCGAGCTTTTGCTGTATTAATTATAGCTTTGTCACTAATTGAGCAAACCCTATTTCCAATACAAGAATTCGGGTCGCTAGCGAGCCAATCTACCAAGACTACTAGGTGAGATATGTACTCGAACGTATGGAGATGGAATGCAATGCAATGCGATGGATGTGATGCGAGATGAAATTGAAAAATGCTAACATTGGGTATCATATAATTTCGTCTTCCCTCCACCCTCATTCTTTGCCCATTCTCTCTTCTCATATCCTCTATCAACCTATCGTCCAGCAACAGGTCCCCCATAAACACTACTAGCACTATTCGTAAATCTAAATTCCTGCACCACTCTAATCTGACCCTCTTCCACCTCCTCCCCTTCTCCATCTTTCCTCTCATCTCTACTCCAATTCCAGCGGTTATGATTTCCATAGCCCGCCTGAATCGTCGTTCTCATATTACTCTTTTCCTTCTTCGGTACTAAATCTAATCGTTGTTGTAATTCCGATATTTGCAATTCTTCTTTCGAACTCCCATTGCCGTTAGGAGTAGATGTGTGCGAACGAGACTGGAAATAATTCCCCCTCTCATCTTCACTCAGCGCCGGACTTTTACATCCCATGTAAGATCTCCGCAGCGCAGCTTTCGGAACCATAACAACCTCATCATCATCCCACTCCCCAGGTCCAATTTCTTTGATCCTAGGGATTAAAGATTGCTTTCTTCCTCTTGATCGGGACCTTTCATGATTGAGTTTCAGTTCGCCCAATTCGACCTCCTCTTCTCGAAAAGGCGAACTTCCAGTATGCGATGAGATTTTCGTGGATTGATCACGGACTTGTTGGGAATAACGTTTGATGATGGGAGCGACGATTGGAAGATTGGTTACTAGGACTGCGAGAAATGATTCGCGAAGCGACCATTGTCCGCTCGATGTGGCTGTGCCTAAGGTCTTGAGGTGGGTTAGTCTTGGAATGGATTTGGGAGAGGAAGAAGGTTGGTGAAATGAGAATGGGAGAGTTACGTCGGAGCCAGAACTTATGGTCAAGATGGAAACACAACGTAGGATTCCGAAGACGGTGACGAGAAATCCTCCACTGTAAAGGACGAGAAGAAAGAGCTTTTGATATGGTAACATGCCCTTGGTACCAAGAATTGTCTATAATATGTCAGTTATAGTTTAAGGGAACGTGAGGCTAGAACGTTTAAACGTACAGGTAGAGGTATAGCCATAATATATATATTGGTTACAGTATTAACAGACATGATGAAAGCCATTTGAAAGACGGAATTGCCAGAATAACAGGAATCTGTGGTTTGTTATTAAAAAGGTCTCCAAACAGGCTGGATGCCAGCTACTCACTTCCTGGATCTGGATAAATTTGCCATTGCTTCTTCAATGGCATGCATTTACAAAATACTACCAGAATAGCTGATAGATATGTGACGCCCAACACCACATATCCTACAGTGATACGTTTCAATGGCCTTTTTTCAGCAGCTGAACTATAATTCAATGTTAGTCATTATATAATACCGAGATCAAGAGCTACCCTTACATCAAACGAGCATAGTAAGTTATCCAACAAGCTTTCAGTAACCACATCAACGAAATGTAGGTTACCCAATTCCAAATATGCGTTTTAGCCCCGTTAACTCGATACAACCATTCTAAAGAATTAGGATCAAGAGTCTGACGCTCCAATTCAGTCATTCCACCATTCGAATAACCTAACCAGCGAGCCACGAGGTAGTATGATAAGGTTGCTTCAGCTGTATATGCGAACTATCACTGCACATCAGAATCATATCCCAACAAGTTGCATCAAAGTGCTACGAACCAAAACGGCAAACATTAAACCATCATCCAATTTCAATTGTCTCCATCCCAGATTCGAGACTCGTGCAGAAATTCTCACTGCAATGAATACGACGGCTATGGCCCAAGATGTCCATGCCTCCACGACGAGATTTGTACAGCTCATATCATCCGGGCAGTCTCAAATCCAATGGCCAGGTTTTTGCAAGTCGTTGACTTCGTAACACCAATACATCGAATATGTCACTGCCAACCAAGCTTTGAGATAACCTAAGCACAATGGGTAATGTGTAACGGCAGGAAGGTGTGTATATTTGAAAGTCAAAGAGTACAATCAAAGAGAGTCAAGAACAGGTGGAGTACAAGTTATGGGGTTCGTCGAACTAAAATGTAAATTTCATGGAGATGCTAATTTCAATTTTCCATCCTTAAAACAATATCAATGGTATATGATCGATGAAGCCTCGTTTCATTCGATCATTTTTGTTGAAAATTGCCACCATTAGACATGGAAATTGTTGGTCAATCGGAAAGTTGCCTGACCTTGTACCTCCACGAATCGATAGATTTGGCGAGGATCTACTCTTAAAATGGATCGTATAAAATCA